GGAGCGCTGCCGCGCTTCCCAAGCGGCGCACTATCCATTGCGCCACCGGGCCGGCCCCATAATCTTCCATCTTAATTTAGAACTCCCCAACCCCACAAGCCACATGGGATATAAATTTGAGCTCTAGAGCTTTGCCTGTTTTGATCATTGACCTCATTCACAGACATAGTTCTAAATGACTTTTGACGGTTTCTAGAAATCAGATACATCTTCCTAAGTGAAGATTTACCATGTTGAAGATTTTGTGAAAGGAGGTGCTGTAAATTGTTGTGGAGCCATTGGCTAAGAGGTCGTAGGTTGAATGGGAAGGCAGCGGAAGCGCATACAGGGAAAGGATATTGAACTCCTGAGTCAGCCTTCTCTATGGCTTACTTTTGTTTAAGTGTATGGCACTTGCTAGAAGAATGAGTCTCACACTCACTGTGATTTGCACCCAGGCAGGGAGAAAGATGGGGTGCAGGTCATGTGTGTAAATTGATAACACCACCCCTCTCCCCTGTCCTCAGTTTGGTACATTTCTGGAGTAGGGGTGCCCTTGGGTGGTTGTAAACGTGGATAAGGAAGAAATTGGTACTTAGCGAGTGCCGTCTTTCCTTCTAGGCTCCTGTGACGTTTGACGACATCACGGTGTACCTGCTCCAGGAGGAGTGGATGCTGCTGAGTCAGCAGCAGCAGGAGATCTGTGGTTCCAACAAGCTGGTGGCACCGCTGGGTATGGATTCCTGTCTGTGTCCCCACCACTGTCAGTCTAGATCAGTATCCCAACCCCATCTGGGCCAGGACATGCTGGAGACTTTTCTGGAATTCTATCATATTTCCAGGCATCATCACACCACCTAGCCGCTCAATGCTGTATCTAACTTAATTGCATGTGAACACACGCACCACCCTTTCTCTTAAATTCTCCCCTTAAACTGGCCTAGAGAAGGGGGGGAATGTGGCATGCCAAGGCTAGACCTTGAGGTCTGTCTCCTGGATGCCTCGGGATATCCCACAGTACCAGGGGGAAGCCCAGCCTATGGAGCTGTGGAGCCCATAGGACACTGGAGGCGGTAAGCGGAGGTGGATAGAGCACCAGATTTGCAGTGCGGAAATGTGTTCTCACTCCCAGCTCTACCGCGGATACTTGAGAGTGTGCAGCCTGTTTAAGCTTTGATTTCCTTTTTCTTAGGGTTGTCATAGAGATTGGAGGAAATAAAACAGTTTAAAATGTACAAATGCAGATATTTTTCTTTTCCATTTTCTGAATGCCCTTTCCTCTGCTTCTATGGGTAGTCCTTCTGCACCAAGGCCAGAGGTAGTTGGATTTCAACACGTATGTGCACACATACATACTATTTGCTGATTGCAATTTGGTGACTGTCTACCATGCCTTTCTTATTTCACCTTGGTCCCTGTCTAAGGCATAGTGGGAGCCACAATCACAGCCTTCTGTGGGTAGAGGGATTGTAGCCAGGGTGGGTCTTCTTCCTGTGCCTGCTAAAAAGGGTTTAAAAACCACTGATTTTTCTAAACTAGAAATTGCAAAGTAGCAGCTCATGGGCCAGATTTGGCTCACAGATTGGAGTTTTGTTTTGCCTTGCTTTGCTTTGGTTTTTGGCTTTTACTGCTTTTGTTTGGCTCCTTAAACATATTTAAATAAGTTGCCAATATTTAACCATTGGGAGTTTTCACATAAAAATATGGATTTCTGGCTTCTTTCAACAAATGGGACTGTGTGGCAGTGCTGCGTGTGCATCCCGTGTGGTGGCCTTGAGTGGCTGCAGACCCCCTTCATGGGGTGACATCCTCTAGGCTGCCCCTCCCCCCCATGCCTGGCCTAGTTTCCTCAGTTATATTACCAGACTGGTCCCACTCGGCACTTGGGTTTGTGAGCCTCTGTCTGAACCGAGAGTTTTCGTGCCTTGTTAGCCTTGCCTGTGCCCCTCCTTGCTTTTGCCTGGTCCCCATTCTTTTAGGGGCCTCTCAGCTATCTGAGTTTCTAGACCACTGCACTGAACTATCAAGATTCTGACCTTCCTCCTGGACCTGTTATCCTGTGATGCTGAGAGTATGTCACAGACAGCTCTCTCCTTGATGTTGTGACCTGCAGCCAGACCCTCACATTGCTTTTCTCTGTTTCTGTCTCAGGACCAACTGTTGCCAACCCTGAGCTGTTCTGTAAGTTTGGTCGAGGGTCAGAGCCATGGCTAGGCAACATCCAGGGCCAGAGGAGCCTCCTGGACCATCACCCAGGTGAGTGTATACCTGCACTCAGAGGTGGTGCTCAGCTGGAGTGGAGCTGGGCACTGGGCACCAGGACTCCAGGCTTCTCCTCTGTCCTCACTGTTCTCTACCAACTTATACAACAAATGCTGTGCTTTCCCCAGTTGTCACCTTATCTAAATATGCACACCTCCCCAGGAGCCGGGCACTGGGCACCAGGACTCCAGGCTTCTCCTCTGTCCTCACTGTTCTCTACCAGCTTATACAACAAATGCTGTGCTTTCCCCAGTTGTCACCTTATCTAAATATGCACACCTCCCCCAACATCCTTCTCCAACCTCTTGGCTCCCTTCATTTTATTTCTACCCAGGAGTGTGTTGATTTATGATTATTTATTATAAGTTCCATGAACACATGGCTTTGCCTTGTTTACTGTTGTGTTCCCAGTGCCCAGAGCAATGCTTGGCACAAGGTAGTTGCACAAAACATAATCACCGAATGAATGAATGAGCTGCTGTCTGCTGAGTTTTAGGGATTTATCTCTCTTTTCCTCCTTGGATAAGCCTCTCCTGTTGGCTTAGCTAGAGCCAGGCCAGATGGCATCTTGTCATTATGTAAGATGACTGCATTAACCCATCCCCTCTGTGGGAGAAGAGGGAGGTGGAAAACAAGATCTCTATGAATTGAATTACAAAGGTTTGCTCTCCTTTCCTTGTGATTTTTCTCAGATGGCCCACAAGGAGCCCTAGAATGTTTTGTGAGTTTGTAAAGTATCATAGAGACTGATTTGTTTGTTTAATTTCTCCTTGCTTGGCTCTTAATTTTGAGCCTACTGGCTCTATATTAACAGCTTTGTGTTCTTGGGGTTAGCTACAGTTTTGTAGACTGGTCTGTTGGCCTAGAGCGAGTGGATGCCTTGTCCTCTGGGGTCTGAACTTATGTTGTTGCAGAAGAAATGACTCCAGAGGAGTCAGAGTCATCTAAGTTGAATTTCATCTAGGTAGTGAATAAAGAACTTCCAGTTCAGCTTGAAGATGGAAAGTCTTAGTGAGGTCATGAAATGACTCCAGAGGAGTCAGAGTCATCTAAGTTGAATTTCATCTAGGTAGTGAATAAAGAAACTTCCAGTTCAGCTTGAAGATGGAAAGTCTTAGTGAGGTCATAACTGTCAAAGATGAAGGTCAAAGGTGAAGGGTTGCGGTGTGTATTAGTTTTTCTGTTGCTTATAACAAAATACACAGAAGTGGGTGTTTATAAGAAAATGTAAGTTATTGCTTACAGTTTCAGAGGCTAGGAAGTCCAAAGTCCAGGAAACACATCTGGTGAAGGCTTTCTTTGGTGGTGACTTCAGTGACAACAAGGTATCACATTGCAAAAATGATGGAGCAGAGAGAGACTAACCTCTCACATTCTCTTCTTTTAAAGTCCTCAGAACCACGCCCCTGCCCACCATTATTAATCCATTCACTACAGCAGGGTCCTACAATCCAATCACCTCTTCACGACCCCACCTTTCAATTACCATAACTGGATTTCCTACCCTCTTAATAGTCACAGTGGGGATTAAGTTTGGGGGGACATTCAACCCAAGGCATGGTGTGAGAGATGAATTAACCTTGAGTTTCTCTTGAGGGCTGGCTCAGTATCAACAGGTAGAAAGACTGGAAGATGGATTGCAGCTTAAGGAAAAGTATCTGGGGACCAAAACTGCCCGGGACATAGGTAGCTCTCTTGCCCTACAGGTACTTAAGCAAAATGCAGATGCCTCTCTGTTAGGCCTACTACAGAAGGGATTCCTGCTGAGCAAGGAGTTGTGTTATATGGTTTTAATTCTCTTTTTTAACCCTATGTTCTAGTATGTCAATGTTCTTATCCATAGGAAAGTTTGGAACTGCTGAAGATAGTGCTGATATCTCAGGTTGCATATATCACATTACAAAGGTGTATCTGTTCCTTAAATTTAAAAAAAGGTGTGGGGGTTGCTTAAAGCCCATCCCTTTGATTTTCTTCTGGATTAGATAAAATGTGCCTGAGGAGAGAAGAGGATTGAGGTAGAGGCTGTGTCCATTTTGACTGAGTGTGTGCTTTCTGCCCTTCACGTTTAATGTGTCTGAGAGCCTCGGTGAGTTACAATTACTACCTATAGGATTTCAAAGCAAATTCCATTTGTTTCGTTTCTCTGAAGGAAAGAACCAGATGGGCTACATGGAAGAAATGGGTGTGCAAAGTCCTGCCAGGGAGAGCGGACTGTACCTGCCACCTCAGAAGAAAGCCTGTCTTTCCCACTTCAGTATGGAGAGTGGCAATGTCGAGGGAGTCTGGACAGGAAGAAGCAAGAAACCCCTGAAGCCCCGGTCTATCCAGAAGTCATGGTTTGCACAGTTTCCATGGTTGATCGTGAACGAGGACCAGACAGCTCTGTTTTGCGCTGCTTGTCGAGAATACCCATCTGTCAGGGACAAACGGTCCAGACTAATAGAAGGTTACACTGGACCATTCAAGGTGGAGACTCTCAAGTACCATGCCAAGAGCAAAGCTCACATGTTCTGTGTCAATGCCTTGGCGGCTCGGGACCCCATCTGGGCCGCCCGGGTCCAGAGTGTCAGAGACATGTCTGGAGATGCACTGGCCAGCCCGGAGCACCTCTTTACTGCAGAGTATCCTATATTCTACCCCCCAGGACCTCTGGGAGAGTTTGATAACATGGCCAAGCTCCAGCCAAGCTCAAGAACTGAACTGGAGGACCCTGGGGGGAATGGAACAATTCCTGCCTTGTATCTAGACTGCATTTCAGATTGGAAGCAAAAAGAAATTGCTGATGACATCCACAGCTCTTCAAACAAGAACATTTTATGTGATGATGCTCTTGAATGTTGCAATCAGGTAATACGTTTATAACGATGGCACTGACTTATAGAGAAGGATCCTGAATGACTCAAGTGCTTTCCTTGGGTATATTTTGTAATTATCTAATTCTTTGGAAAGTTGACCCCTAAGGAAATTGTTAATTTAAATCTTTGAGTACCTAGAACCTTCTGCATTTCCTAACTATTGCATATAAGTAGGATTTTACTACAAATCATTTTTAGTACCCCCTCCAGGAGTCCAATGAGAATAGCTCAGATGTTCCTCATAGCTAACATCATAAGAAATCTGGCTCAAGTCAGTGAGTTTGACATTTTCCAGAATTCATAAAGACAACAAAGTTCAGTTCTCTTCATGTTCATGTTGCTGATGTTTTTTAGTATTAGAAGCTAATAAACAGGTCTCACCTCTTAAACTCTGAATTCTTTTAGCAGTGAGATGCTTGTAAGCCTAGTCACTGATTATGAACATCTTTAGTTCTCTTTGACTACTTCTTCCTTCCCATCCCATTGAGAAATCTTAGCAGGTGCTCCTAGAGGCAGACAGTCACCTTTGTAGCCATGGACCGGTAGCAGACACTGCTCTTTGGGCTCTAAAAGGCAGGATGCAGTCATGGTTCTACCAAGATGCCTTTTCTTTCGTGTGTTTTTATTTCTTCCCAGCAGATCCTAGGACCTGACAGAGGCTCATTTAGTTTTTACCTACTAAATCTGAGCCTCATGAATTTGATTCTTTGACTTTCAATGGGTAAATTAATGCCTTGGAGCGCATCTGGGCCTTTTGGTGAGATTCCCAGGAGAAACGGGTCTTAAGAAGGCCCCCAAAAGTGCCATGTGGGTGTCTGAGTCAAAGGGCATGCTGAGTGACTGCTGCTGTTTGTTGCAGGACCCTTATGAAGAGGGGCTGTTGGAGGAGGTTCCAGTGGTGTTTGAGGAGCTCCCAGTGGTGTTTGAGGATGTGGCGTTGTATTTCACCCGGGAGGAGTGGGGCATGCTAGACAAGCGACAGAAGGAGCTGTACCAAGATGTGATGCGGATGAATTATGAGCTGTTGGCATCCCTGGGTAAAGACACACATAGACTTTTATTTTCCACCATCATTTGACTTGGAAAACTCACAGCAGCAGCAGTGGCTTGTGTTCATCTTCCCATTTCTGCCTCCTCCCTGTACATAGGCAGAGAGGGATATCTTTTGTACTGAGCTCTCCCTGCTTTGGGATACTGTACTTTACCACCTCTTCATCCACCCACCTGTCCATCCACCCATCCATCCTCCCCAAACATTTATCATGTACCTACTGTGTGCAAGACGAACATGAATGAGCCAAGGTCTCTGCTTTCAAGTGTCTAGCAGGTTGGTGAGAGAGACAGACATTTAGATGAGAAACTATAAAATAATACAAGCTCCCATAAAAGAGCTTCAGGAAGAGTACCCTGAGGCTGCTGAAGAAGAGTGATTTGACTTTGCTGGGCATTGGAGGGAGGGATCAGGAAGTGCTGACAGTTCGAAATGTTTTAACTGGGTTTAAAACCAGATGGACTAGAGGGAGGAAGGGCATCTAGGCATGACAGGAGGGGCAGTGTGACAAAGGCAGGGAGGCAAAGGGCCTCCAAGTGGACCCTGCCCTTTGTGTAGTTCAAGGCTAAGTGTTCTTCATCCTTCCCAGGTGCCGGCAAGGGTGGGCAGCCTGCGGCAGAGGTGTCACTAGGTTTGGACCTTGGAGAATTATGAAGGTGGTAATGGTTATGACTTTTTCAGAATAGTGTTCTCATTGCCTGCATCTGTTTCTTTTTCTTCTCTTTGACTCTGTTGGGCAGACACCCAAGGTTCTTCTGCAGCATCAAGATGAAAGACAACTCTTTACCTTGAAAAGCTTTTATTTATTTCTTTATTTTACTAACATATATTGTAATGGAAACTTTGCAGAACAGGCTGCTGTACCTAACTTAGGAATTCCAGGAACAACCTGTGTCATGACTTGTGCAGAATAAATAAGAATATTTGAGTTAATTGATGTCATATCCCCTTGTTTACACTGCCCTTTCCAGTGCAGCTAAGATAGGGATTATTTTCTAAACATTCTTGACCTATATACTTGTTTTTGTCATTAGTCCTGATTTTTAAATGGGTCCCAAACATTCAGAAATAAATAATTATTCACTTTGTGGTAACAGAGGTTTTGTAATCAGGTGCTAGGTCCAGGACACTTGAACTCAGTGTACCTTCAAAGAGCATTGCTGTCCTGCTGTGCTGAAAAGCAGTGAGAACGAGACCGAGGGGGAAATTCATTTGTGAAAAAATACAAACCCACTTACAAAAAGTTGGGTTTTCCTTTAGTAATCCTCACTAGCAACCCAGTTTGCCCTCTGTTTGCCCTGTGGACAATTACAGCAAAAGTACCAGGGAACCACTGTTGACAACGGGCCTCTCCCATAGTGCAGTATGTGCTAACTATTCTCTCAAATTTTGTGTTTTGACACAGCATGATTTAAGTATCTTATCATTTTTTAAAAATTTGCATAAGTTAGGAAGTAGGAAAATCTTAGCTAATGAGGGGAAGTTAAGGTACAGTTTAGCCTTGGTTAAATTTGGTTTGGATACACAGAAAATATAATCAGAGTAAGGGGGACTAATTTTGCTTAAGGGTGGGAGGCAGGAAACAGTAAGGCTTTATGGAGAATGGGGTCGTCCTTTTCAGTTGTCTGTGAAATTGAAATGGCTATAGGAGTCTAGAAACTGAATTGTTTGTGTATGATTCCTATTAGTTATTTTAATTAGGTCTCCAGCTATTATTCTTTAAGTATTGCCCAATTTATTTTTATTTTTTTATTTTTTTATTTTTTTTAAAAGATGACCGGTAAGGGGATCTCAACCCTTGGCTTGGTGTTGTCAGCACCACGCTCAGCCAGTGAGCAAACCGGCCATCCCTATATAGGATCCGAACCCGTGGCCTTGGTGTTATCAGCACCGCACTCTACCGAGTGAGCCACGGGCTGGCCTGAGTATCGCCCAATTTAAACAGTTTTTCATATTTGAGTTACCCCCCGCGACAAATGCTTTAAGAGTTGTAAAACAAATACTATTTTGCGTTATTGTTTAATTTTTTGTAAATTGAACTCCTTGACATGAACTCAGTTTTTGTAAAAGAAAACCTCTGGCATAATTTTTGCAGCCAAGAAAATCCTTTTTGAAAAATCTCCCGTCCATTTTTTTAATCCTGCTTGTATGTTAGTGTTCAAGAAAGTCTATGATCTGCTTGTACTGGGTGTCGTAGGAATCCTCTGTTTTTCTTTGGTCGTTTTTTAAAATTCTTAAGTCTGGAAATAATAATTACAGTGGCTTTTGCTGTTGACTGAGCATCTGCTGAGTGCTGGTCCTGTGTTGAGTGTCTTACATATATTCTGTCTAATCTCAACCAGTCCTGTAAGCAAGTGGTAGTGGTATTTTTCAGATGAGAAAACAGCCCTGAGGATCTGAGCCATTTAATTTGGTAAATGGCTAAACTGATTCTTACTATTCTGTCCATTGAATATGCATTGGACTTGGATAAAATTCCTGCTTTGCATATGTTTGTTACCAATTGACTCTCTTTTCATTTCAAGATTTATGCTCATCATGTTGTTGATATTAAAATAATAATAGCACCAAGTATAATATTAGATTATTTAAAAGTTCAAACAGTATAAGATTTTTTAAAAAATGAGTCTTCACTTCCTGTCCCTCTTAGTCCACAGTCCCTGCTGCAAGGCAGTTAGTAGTTTGCTCTGGCTCTTCAGGACCTTCTCCATAGGTCACTGTCAGTTCTCTCCCCTCTGTGAGGATGAGATAGGAAAAGCGGATGGACTGTCTGGGGCTGATCAGGCTATATTGGCTTTGGCTCAGCACAGGTCGTGGGTCCTTGTGGTCTGGGGGACATCATGCTATGTCGCAGCTCAGTTGTGCCACAATTTCCTTTTGCTCTCATCCCTTGAAGAAATGCAGCTAATTCTCCCATGGCCTCTTTTCAGAGTTCACAACTGAAAATAACAGAATTACAACTGAAAAAAAATCTGAAAAGGTTTGTTCTTTTAGATCTTCTAGTTATTGTCTCTGTTTTTAAGAAGACAGTCTCAATTTGATGCAGTTGAATTTAATATTAATTTCTGTCAACCGTCTGGCAGTTACACTGCATAGACTGAAGCCTCTGGACAGATGTAGGTTTCCGGGCGACAGCCACTCACTTGTCACATCTGCCTTGGCCTCCCCATCTGCCTTATCCACAGCGCTGAACTTGTAGAGGACAGTCATCTTGGTTATGGAGGAAAGAAGAGGTTTTTGTTTTATTTTTAGTGTTTTCTTGTTTCAGTCTTTGCTTTTGTGGACTTGTTCATTTAAAAATGTTTTATTTATCACTCTGCAGAGTTTCCAACTATTCTTTTATTCCAGTTCTTTAAACTCTGGTTTCACACTTTGGCCATATTTGATGAGATCTCTTGCTTCCCCTAAAAAAGTATCCAGAAATCTCAATTATATTCCACTATTAAGAAACTACTATTTGTCCGTAACAGAAGCAGACAGGCCAACTAAGGCCTATGTGGGTAGCCCTTGATTTCATTAGTAAAGGTGTCATTGTACGCTACATGGCCGGGTCACTCTCTTCAGGTGGGCAGTGTCTTGTCTACAGGAGAGGTCCTTACTACAGCCAGACCTCACACAGCTGGGGGAAGAAGTTGTGACATTGAGTGGAAACCAAAACAGTGGGAAGGCCTTAAAGGAGATGAGCGGGAGAGTTAGAATTGCTCAGATGTGTCTAGGAGGCCAGCTTCTCTCTGACAGGCTATGTGACACTAGCCTGTATGTGGGAGCAGCTGGCAGCTAGAGAGGGAAGAACCAGGTGAGGGGCCGAGGAGCCTTTTCAGAACTGATTCACAGGATAGGGCCTGCCAGCCTTGGCACGAAGTTAGCCCGAAGGATCAGAAATCTGTTCTTTGAGGGCCGGCCCGTGGTTCACTCGGGAGAGTGCGGTGCTGATAACACCAAGGCCACGGGTTTGGATCCCATATAGGGATGGCCCGTGGCTCACTTGGGAGAGCGTGGTGCTGACAACACCAAGTCAAGGGTTAAGATCCCCTTACCGGTCATCTCTTAAAAAACAAAACAAAACAAAAAGAAATCTGTACTTTGGTAGCCAAACCATTTATGGGCAGTCACAGTCCGAGGCTGGTAGTGTGTGTGTGCACATGCACTTGCTGTGGTTATGTCCCTCGGTCAGAGAAGAGTCTGTGAACATTTGCTTCTGTTGTACTTGTTCTGAAGGGAACAAAAAGAAAAGGTTT